AACAAGCTTGTGACTTGCGATGTCTGCGATACGACCAATGTAGAATGGCCTTTATAATTGACTTTAGAGGATTTTTTTCTTCTATTGTGCGCGAGGCCTTATGCCCGTATTCATAGTCAGGCCTTATATTTAAAGCTTCCTTAAATTTATCTTTAGATGCTCTACGAATTATTTCATTGGCTGCTGAGCATCTAAAGATAAATTTAAGGAAGCCTTAAGTACAAGGTCCGACTATGAATGCGGGCATTACTATTGTTAAATTCACTGAACTTAGCCATATTGGTTTAGGTACAAAGCTGCCAACGTCTAGAAAAAAACACTAACTGGTTTAGATTACACTCTATGTTATTTACAAACAATTTACATTCTTTTACATTAATTATCGAGTTTGACACTTGCCGTTTATCTCGCTTGCAATTAAAGTTATACATATTGTGTACGGGCGATTGTAAGCAATTATGCAGTGAAAATTTCACACAAGTACGCACGAAATATATAAGTTCGTAAATATATAAGCAAACGCGCGATGGGTGTAAGGTTTTTCTTTAGAAGATTTTTTCAAAGACTTTTTCATGTACACGCTGTGCCAATAAGTCTTTAAATAATGGCATTCTCGTTTCGAGCCGGCACTAATTGGTGCCATGATTTCCCGAAACTCGCCAGGGAATCAGGATTTTACTTTAATATGCATGGATCCAGAGTACGAGTTGACTGGAATCGCATAGGTAAGTCAGATGTTGTGACAATCAAATATCAAGTTTATTATTGTAAATTACAATTTGTCTTTCTATTACAGGTGCTATAGATATAGACAGAGTTATACGGGAAAGAGATTTCTTAAGTATAGATCAAAACATTAATAATGTAATAGATTATTGCTTGGAGAGTGAATATGATGTCAAGATCTTAGACCCTAATTTTGTTAAGTTGTTCAGACTTGCACAACTGTCAGTCGAGTATTTATTGTATTGTAAACAGTATTTGGATCATAGTGTAATAATATTGAAGGATGAGCTAAGACAGAAGATCGAACAAAATATTAGTATGAAAAAAGAAATTGCTGCATTGGAAGATACTGTAAAAAATTTAAAGGAGAGATCAAAGGAGAAACGTAAATTAATTGAGACTAGCATTGGTGAAATCTCTAATGGAGAAGTTTACAAAGTAAATTTCAACAAATTTATTTGTTAGAAATAAGATGTATTGATTGTAAATGATATTGACTTTTGTTGGTTACAAATTATAAATTATACTGCAAATATAGGTAACTTGGGACAGCATGTATTTTTGTTAAATTTAATCATGGTATCTATCCATGAGTCTCCAAAGAAAGTTTAAAATTTAAATTTTCTTTAATGACTTATGAATGGATTCCATGATTAAATTTAACAAAAATGCATGCTGTCTCAAGCTGTCTACCTTGTTCCAAGTTACCTACATTTACGATATATTATAAATTAAAATTATAAATTAATCACGATACTTTCAAAATTTAATTGCAAGGTTTCTTGTAGTGTCCACATTGCCCGAAAACATTTGTGCGTGCTATATTTGTAAATGCTCACGTAGCACGCAAACATTCATACATATCAGATATGGGTGTATCTTCTCCTGTGCAGGATCATTACCGAGCAGAAACAGAGAAATTACACAACGAGATAAAAACATTGAAGGAAAGACTGAATCAAACTGAAAGAGTAATAAGAAATGAATCCGACAAACTGTTGGATAATTCAGAGAAGGATTATTCAAGAAACACAAGTAAAAATGAACATGATTTTAACAGAATAGATAGATTTCAAGGGCAAAGAAGATATCAAGAAGACATTGGAAGTTTGAAGAACATGTTGTTTGATGAGATACGTGTAAGTTCATAAATTAATTAGTGATTTATTCTATTTATAGAATTTCTTACAAATTATTTGGAATCTTCTTGCAGGCATTAAGAGAAAAAGATCACGTTGTAAATGAGAGTATTCTGGAGACAAATGTGAAAAGTCTAATTAGTCAACAAGAGAAAGAAATTGGGAATTTGAGAAATCAGCTTCTTGAAAGAGTAAGAAATGGTAGTTTTTATTGTTCATTATTCTTATTAGGTATTAAGCTATATTAGATTATTTTTTTAGTTGACTCCAGGCATGGAAAATATGCAGGTAAAGTTACAAACGCAAGAAAATCATTGGAAAGCCAAGATGGAAGATATGGAAGCTCAACATCATCGGGATATCGAGAAATTGACGACAGAATTGAAAGCGACTCAGCAGATAGCTGATCGTATAAAGTCTGAGTATGCGTCTAAGGTACACGACTTGGAGAAACAGTCCATGGATCAAACCAACATGTTGGTAGAGCAAAAAAAACAATTAAACAGCTTGTCACGTGAGATCAATAATTCGCAAACACAAATCAATAGTCACAAAACTAGGGAAAAGAACGCGGCAGAATTCCATAAATCTGCTTTATTAATAAAACACAACAGCAACAATGAAAACAAACCTTATACGAGTTTAAATAATACTGAAGATACTGAGATGGTCATTGAAGATGTTGGTAGTGAATCTAGTCAAGAAGATAATGAAAAATTGATGTCAGTCATAGCACGAACCCAAAATATCCCTACTAAAGATAACATAAAGAGCAAGGATAATAAGAAAGTTGTAACTAACAGCAAGACTGTAAAACATTTGATTACTAAGTCTAATCTGAAAAAATTAGATAGATCAGAAATTGTTAAAGAAACGAAAAATAATATGAGACATTATGATAAGTTGGACATAAATGAAGTTAATGACCGCATAAATGATAATTTTATTATCAAAGAAGATCCTATTGATGTAAATAAAAAATATGTAGATAAAATTAGAGAAAAGAAAAAAACGTTACATACAGATAATATAAAAAACAAGAGATTCTTAGAAAAGTGTAGTGTAAGTTCTGTAACAGAATCTGGTTCTTTGTCGTCAATGTCAGAGTCAGGGACCGATAGTGAGAGTGTTACAACGGATGATGATTTAGTAAAAAAATGTAAAACGCTTGCAATTAAATCTCCCAATACCAGAAAAATATCAATTCTGGAAGACGCAAGAAGTATGTTTGATAATCGGTTAAGAGAATTAGGAATTGATCCAGAATGGCAAGGAATACCTGCGGCAACATATAAACAAAAAATGGAGATTATAAGGCATCAGCAAAATATTAATGCAAAGAAGTTAGTTCGGTATAATCAAATTAAACAAAAAATACTTGAAGATGTTCTTCAGAGAATATCAGCAAATCATAAAGAACCAGGATATTCTACAAAAAATTTCCCTTTGGATAAACTGGTTACTCATGTTAAATCGAAGGCATGGAAAGCATTCAGCAAAGACAATGGTAATTATATATTTTCTATACTAAATCTCTAATATACTATGGACAATTAATACAATGTAATGTACTTTTTTGTTTTTTAGGCGAATATACATCTATCCAGAAAGCAGAAAATACGACACCATTAAAATTACGTTTAAAGCAGAAGATCGAGCTTCTTCCTAAAAAATATAAAGATGAGGTGTATGAAAATACACGTGAATCACCATTGAAAAAAAATGGAGCGGACACTTACACTAGTCCAAAAGTGACTCCAGTATATTCAAAATCGATTCGAAGCATTTCCTCCGCAAGCTCTATTGAATCTCGAGAAGATATAAAACAGATTTCACCTACGAAGATAACTGTATCGGATACTATCGCAAGTAAAATTAATTCTCCAATCAATAAGAAAGAAGTGGTAACGCCAAAATTGTTTGAAAATAATGACTCAGACAGTACAATTATACCAGACGATTCAGTTCTTTCTCCGAAAAATAAAAGTGTTTTAAAATTGACGAGTGGCTCAGTTGGTAGCTTGGTAAAGAAAAAAGTCTTATTCGATTTGAATGACAAAAAAAATGATACGACGATATTAGAAAATGATCAAGGAAAGAATCAAGTAAATAATAATGATTGGAAAGTATCAAGGTATTAAAGATTTTAAATTGTAATTTTTGTTCTTATATAATATTATTTTTTACATATATATTTGTATATTTAAGTATGTAATTAATTCTCATTATTTTTTTTAAGCTTTGGTGAAAGAGGAGAATATGCATTGCAGAAAGAGAAGTCTATGAGCACAGGTAACATTGTTTTAAAAACTTCGCAAAGCGATAAAATCGCGGAAATATCCAAGAAGATACAGGAGCAAGTAAGATAATATTTTGTGTGCAATTATTTGATATATCTTTATAATATATCATTGAAATGACATTGTTATAAATTATTTTTCTAGTTGAGTATATCAAGAAAGCCGCCTGTAGGATCGGTTGAAACTATCTTTCGAGTCAATACGAGCTCACAGGATTTTATGAATTATAATGCAGGAAATCAACTGTTAAACTCGACCAGTCTCATGAGCTCCATCTTGAACAGTCCTATGCGGAATTCTGCAAGCCCGAAGGCGAAAGGCAACATATTTCCACAACCCGCTCCGCGAACTCTGAAAGACAAAGATCCCGCTATTGTTCAACGTATAAATGAAATAAAATATTCTGATCTAGATTCAGATATCGATGAAATATTACAGATGGAATAAGGTGTACTGATTGTATCTACGATGTAACTTTAAATTATTATCTCAATCTATACATCTTCTACAGTGTGCTGCTCATATCATAAATGGGATATATATATATATAATTTATTACAGTATTTATGTAACTAGTAGTGTACGTACGTGTTTAGAAACGGCTAAGTTTTACTTGATACATTTTGATGTAAAAACTATGGATTTTTAGTATAAAATGCACGCGTGTTACCAAAAAGTCTTCTACATATCTGACGTGCAACTTGAAATACACATGTATTGTACAGATTGTTTTTAAAATACTTGACCAAAATTTTATTTTGCTAGTCGTATTGATAAAAAATGTCAGATTATATAATATATTTATATATTTTAATTTATTTCATTATAACTTATTGTGATCATTATTTTGAGAAGAATAATCAATCCCCTGCAATCCTAATATTTTTCTGCGTTGGAGTTTAGATACTGATAAATTTCTGTAACAGTGTTATTTTTTGCGTTAACCAATCTTTGTATAAATGTTATATACTCACTCTTTGATCTTATCCAGGATACTTTCAAGCACGACAGGAATAGCCGTATGGTTAAAATGCTGCATTTTTGATAAGAATACCGATTTTCTATAAGACAGATTTGTATATGATTCATGAATGAAATTGATTAACGAGTCAAAAGCTTTTGTATAATCATCCATAAGCAGCTACAAAGTAATAATTCATATCAGATGTATGATACTAGATGTAATTAAAATTAATTTAATATAGGAATAATGAATTACCACTAAAGTAAAGAAGCCAGGATGGCTTTCGTGGTAGTCCAAGTACAATTTCCTACTTTTTATAACAAGTTCAACATATATATTTTTTAATGTTTTTGCTTTTTCTTCGGGCGTTATTCTCTCTTCATGCTGTACATGAAAATTATATTTACACAGAATAAGAATAACAATAAGAGAATGTTGAAAAAAAAGTTATTCTATTAAGATGTTTCTTTTTCAAACTAAACTTATATTACCGTTGTTTTTCTGTTCAATGAAAGTACTTAATTTATCTTAAGTGGTCCATAGAGAATATATGTACATTATATCTTATATTGTGATTAAAATAATAGAAGTTTCTAAAATAAGATTAATCCCAACAAATGTAACATAGACATATATATAATATTACACGAATGTCATCAATGTTACACGTAATATTATTTGTACGATAAATGTATTATTCTAATTTTATATCAGCAATTTTGTATGTATGTCAAATATTTCATTGATATATTACTGTAACATAGACATATTCTAGAAAATCTAAAAGTTATGTATTCGTTTGCTGGGATAATCTTTCACGAAATTCAAAGCATATACAATGTCCATTATTTCTTCGGAAGATGTTGATTCGCTAAAATTATCGTCATCGAACTGGTCAATGTCCATCATCAATATAGTTCGACGCTGCAATATCATCAACTTATGTTTTTCACGTTTCGTCTTTTCATCATCGATAATGATATTCAAATCCTCGTCCAATAATACCTATATATTAACAATGCTGATAATGCAAGATATTCAAATTTCATTTAAAGTTACGATTCGTACTTTTAATTCTTCCGACACCCGTCTTTTTTCTTCTGATGACAATCGATCAAACGATTTTCTATCTTTTTCATTTTTTGGTTCTAACAATGTAACGTGCTCTTTTTTCTGTGATGCTATTTCATTCCTTCGCAATACAAGTCTCGGTAACATCGTCTTTGTAGTACTTTGTAATATTATATCGGTTGTTATAGCTTCGTTTTCTCGAGGTATCGTGGAAATGTAAATTGGAAATGCTAGACGGCTCATTACCTAACACAAACATATATTTAGTAGAATTTCGCAGTATATTTCTAATGAATTGAACATTTTTCTTAGAATTCTTCACGTAATTTTTCAGAATTTGTCAGAATTTTTATATTATTTTAAAACTTTTTAGAACATTTTTCCAATTTTTATGCGAATTTAAATACTTTTCAAAATGCTCAGAAGGGATTTACAGAATTTTACTAGATTTACTAGAATTTTTTATTTACTCGTATATGAATTCTGAAATGTTATGCTAAAGTTATTTATTCTTTTAATTTCCAAAAAATGCTTATAAAATCTGAACAAGTGTAAGAAGTGTTTTAAAAAAAATTTTTTTTAATTTAAAATAATTTTTTTAATTTATAAAAAAATTTTTTTAATATTATGAATTATGAAAAATTTTTTCATCAGAGATCGTATATCAAAAATTAAGCTTTAGTCAAACCTCATCCAAAATTTCTTTGATAAAGTTTAATATGCAATTAGCAGTCTCTGTTTCTTTACGCTTGTTTATTTTAACAGCCAACAAATTTTCCACACTGTCTTTAATCCATGTGAAAACGTCAAATTTCTCTTGTATCCAATCTCTGTGAAGATCGACACTTTGTGTAAACATCAAAATTGCTTTCACGTTCGGATATCGTTTAGAAATTTCGGTGACTGCGTATAAATTCATTTGAGTAAGTCCAATTTTGTGTTCAGATATCAATGGACTAATCTGATTTACATCTGTAGAAAGAATTATAGTTTCCAAATAGAATGAAAATTTTTCTAAGAATTCCTTATTAATTTTGTGTATAATATTATAACTTTTTAGAAAATATCTCAGATTTTTTAAACATTGAATACTTTTTTTAATATATTGAGAAAAATCTGCATCTTTAATTTTTGAAACTATATTTTATATATGAATTCTAAATTATTTTAAGATTTCTCATTTTAATTTCCAAAAGAAAACTTATAAAATTTGAAGAAGTTTAAAGTATTTTTTCGAATTTTTTATAAATTTAAAACTTGAAAAAAATTCTTAAAAATTATAATGAAATATGAGATTTTTTTTAGAATTTACAAATATATATTACATAACAGTAATTTCATATAAATTAATATAAGTAATATTGCACTAACGAAATCCGTAACTATCACCCAAAAGGTCCAGAATTACTAAAAATTCGCCGCGCCGTGTCATATCATTAAACTCTTCCCTATTTACAGGAATGTACGCTTTACTTTCATCGTTTTCGCATATTTCCTTTGTAGTATGCCAAGAACAATATTTTATCTGCAAAATTGTATTCTGCTATTTCTTTGAAATTGACCTTTAAGATAATTGAAAGGATATTGCAAAAAGGATTGCAAGAATTACTTTATCGGGAATTGTTTGAGCCACATGCAAAGCCAGTGCCATTTTCTTTAGCGCCGACGGTCCTGTGAGTACTATCAAAAGAGGGCTAATTTCATCATACGGTTGAACGTGAGCGCTTATCTTGTTAATATTTAAGTGTTCTAGTAAAGTTAATTTTGCTACTTTACGGGCAGCTATCAAATCCAATGGCGAGGCAAACAGCATAGCTGATCTCACCTGGAAGAAAATATATTTACCAAGTAAAATTATTTATAAAAATACGTAAACATGCATAAATATCCATATATAATTATCAGGGTTGATTAAATTAACTTTTTTTTAAACTAAGTTAAGTTAACAACATCTTGAAAATTTAACTTAGTTAAGATACAAGTTAATTTATAATAAAATTAATTGAATTAAGTTAAGTTAATAAAAAAAGTATTGAAAAGTTAAAAGTTAAATTTGTTTTTTTATATTTTTTTATTTCATGATTCCAGGATTTCAATCTTACAAATAACGGAAATGATAAATATATACTTCATTTAGAAAATATTCTATATTCTATTTACATGTTTTGTTCATATATACTGTTTACATAGACTGTTATATATACTGTTTAAATATTTTGTTCACATATACTTATTAAATATAAGTAATAAAGCCATTTCGAAATTTTTGTCGGACATCTTTTCTCGCAAATAAGTCCTGCACTGAACAGTCTGTCAACATGAGCCCACATGAAGATGGTATTGATGTGTTATATTTTAATAATAAAGAATAACAGATTTCAACCTATCAAAAACTAGATACATTAAAATACACGATTTCTGATAGATTGAAATTTGGGAATCGATTGTGTAATTTGAAATAAGATGAAAATTATAAAAGTGAGTAAAAATTCACAAGAATATTTATAATTTCATTGGTCAACACTTAGTAAATTTGCTTACTTTTGCAATTTTCACCTTATTTTAAGCTATTATCGCGTATACTGTCTAAGACCTAACTTAAAAAAAATTAAATAAAAAATTAATAATTGCGGAAAATGCAATTAAATAAAGCTAAAAAGTTAAGAATTTAAATTGTAACTAAAATAAGTTAAAATTAATTAACTTCTTAACTTTTTACCTTAACTTTTATCTTTTTAACTTAACATTACCCAACCCTAATAATTATGCATGAAATATGTCCATACATCTTTCTTTCTTTTGTAAAATTCCTTTTTAGTGTACTAAAAATAATAAGAATAATGAAATATCAAAAACAGTTAAAGTAATTTTCACATTGTTTGTTTTTTAGAAAAATTAAGTTTAGAGAAATGTAAAAAAATTTGCTTGTACACATAACTGTATAGTTTTATGTACAATTACATACATGAACAATTCTTTTACATTTCTGCAAACTTGATTTTTTCTGAAATAAATAATGCGAAAATTTTCCTTTTAATTATTTTTAATATTTTCTTATTATTATTATAAAAATTAATGATTAAATGTTATAATCAACTAGTTACAACTATAAGTTCCCAATTAAACAAAAATTCTTATAATATCCTATAATATTTAAAAAATTAATATTTTTAATTTATGAAGATTTCTGAAAAAAAAAAATCTTAAATTTCTTCAGATTTTATTAATTTTCTTCAGAAAAGATGTAGGCTTTCTCAGTACTTCTGAAAAGTGTTTTCTCTTTTTCATTTAGAAAAATTACCTTTTCTTGCGGAAAGACCTGAATGCCATCAATAAATTTAATGCTCGATATAGAAGATATCAATACGTTTCGATAATTGGGCCACTCTGTGCAGGTGTTGCCTCTAAAGTCGACCTGACATATTAAGCCCTTCAAATTCAATATCTCCATTAGGTCAGTGATTCTATTGAACTTTAGATCTACGAAGCGTAAGGTGTATGTATCCTAAAAATCATTTAATTAAAACAGGACTAGAAATACTTTGGCGTGCAATCCGTTCTTTTATGATGATCACTTTGAAAAAGCCCAGAGTGCACAATCTATTGTATCCCAGGAGAATTGTTCGCAAATTAGACAAAGTGTTTAGGCCACGGCCAGGTATGGCAGATTTAAATGACGTTATACAATTGCCTTCTAAATTTAATTCTTGTATATTCAGACCGTCCAAGTTTTCAATACATTCGATGAGGTTGTAGGACAAGTTCAAGTACTGTAAATGTCTATAAAAAAACTATAACAAATTGTAAATACAGGTCGCGCATCGAAAGACACATTACATTTTGTAATTACTTTAAATTTTCTAGCCCAGAAATGCTTTCTAAAATATTGTGAGATAAGTTTAATCTAACGATGCTCCAGCAGCCGCTCAAATCGCCTATGTCTATTATATAATTGTGAGATAAATTTACGTAGGTGAGGTACCAAGGAGGTGTAAAATCTGACACATGTTTAATTTTATTGTGCGATGCGTTTAAATACATTAAGTATGGAAGGCCGCTCAGAGGCGACAAACGCGATACATTATTATTAGCGATATTAATATATTGCAGGTGTCGATGATATTGCAACATGGTAATGTCCGTAAGACCCTAAAAAGCAAAAAATAACAACAAGATAAATGTGAAATTCAAATACTGTTAACTTAATTATGTAGACATAGTCAAAATCTGTTGAAAACAAATTTTGCAAAGTATCTGCTAAGTATATATTTTGTCAGTAGAGTAAGAACAAAAATATAACAGAATCTGCTTGCATATTTTTCTTATTTCTGCTTTTGACTGTAAGAAGTAAAAAGTGGACAACATCATTTCGTATAAGTGTATAATATAATCATTTTTATTCAGTAAATAAACTGTCGGTAGTACGTCAGCAGATTGACAACAATTCGATCGAAAATTGCTGGCGAATCGGTATTAATTGTGTTCACATTTAAGCTCATGCTTTAAATATAAATTAATTAATTATAATTAAAAGTTAAAAAATTAATATTAAGGAATATTTATATAATTAAACATTTAATATTTACTTAAATATTAATAATAAAAATTTATAAAATTATATAAGAGAGTAAACTGTATAGTAAATTACATAGTAAACTAGGATTAAATATTATAATTATAAGACAAAATTAAATTGCTAGCATATTGTAGATAATTATATTCTTGTCCTCGTTCCGATAAAATTTGTATTAACATTTTTGCTCGTTGGGTTAATTTAATTGTAAAATTTTTGACAATACCCTATTTTTCAGGACACATTTACTGAGAATATAGAGACCATTTTCGGGTGATCTCGTTAGGAAGGATGAGCCGATGCCTATCAATCTGTCAGACAAAAAGCCGAAACTTTCCTTGTTGTCCAATGATACTTCATTTGGCCTTATCTGTACCACAAACGATTTGCTGTCCTCCCATAAATCTAAATCCAAGGCGTATCCTCCCCAATCACTATCGATAATTTGCTGTTTTTGTTCATCAAATTTGGATGAGCAGATCTTTACGAATAAGATATAATTTAAGATAGTTCAATTAGGAAAAAGAGATAAGCATCTTTTATAGCAAAGTAATCTAAGGTTGTTTGAATCAGTATAAAATTTCTCAAATAAAAATTTAATTAAGAAAAGGAGAAACATACGTACTTTTATAGACGAAGTAATTGACATTAATTCAGAACTTTTTTTTTCCATAGGAATGTTCTTCAATCTTTCATGTGGATTATGTTTATCATCTAGAATGTTTTCATGCATCTTTTCTTGAGCTATTTTTAATATTTCCGACATTTTAAAAATTTTATTTCCTATATATTTCTGAATTATTAATATGTGCAAAACGAAAAAAGTCTCCAATTATTTACAATCAAAACAGCTGAATTGATTCTTTACATAATAGGTGACTTTCTTTAATTGATTATCAATTCAATCGGCAAAACTATAATTTGTAGCAAAAATGTTGTTTATATGTAATTAAACCCTATAAATTAAATCCTTATTCTAATCTTTCATTCTATATATTAAATAATATATCAACATGTTAACAAAATACTGTAAATATTAAATTTTAGAAGCCTTATACCTTAAAAGTATAACTTTTTTAAGTTTCGAAGATTTCACAGTTTTGAAAAGGTCCTATCTTTAATAAATAGTATTTAAAAAACGGTGTCTGTGTTTATTTTAAATAGACTGTATATGAACTAGTATATGCTATTATTTAATATGTAGTTTATTTTATAGTAATAAATATTTCTATACATCACTTACATATATTTATTGTCATCGTTTTCTTCTTTTTGTTCCCATAAAAATCTGTATATCAATAAATTAGATATATATATATATGTATATATATATATCTATAGAAGAAAATATAAGTCTGAATAGATCGTATTGCTACAATACGTCCCGATCTTATTTTCGTTAAATTATACATTTTAATAATATTAATTATTTCCTATAAATAATTTCAATTCATATAATCTTGAATTTATTATATATGTTACTGCATATATAATAATAAGTATAATATGTATATTCATAAAGACACAAGATAATTAATTTTTATTACAAAAATAATTTTTGTTACAAATGTATTTTTTTGAAATAGCACATTATTGTGCTATTTGAAATGTTTTCTAATACTAATTATCCACTATTGCGGGCTCCAGCAAAGGATGCATATTTTTCCTACGCTGAATATTCAACCAGAATCCATTTTCCGGCATCATCACTAGACCTTTCTTGAATTTTATTGGGGACTCAGTTTTTGCGCAAGGTTTCAGTTCACATCGCGCTAATAAATGAAACAGCAAGACTTTGACTTCCAGTATGGCAAATCTGTTAGCTATGCACATTCTTGGTCCTAATCCAAACGGCATATAAAATGAAGAATTATGAAGCTTATTATCTAAAAATCTTTCTGGATAAAATTTCTCCGGATCATCGAAGTATTTTTTATCACGATGGATTGCCAAAATCGGAATCCAAACAGGCGTACCCTTCCTCACAATAACAGGTTTCTCATCTGGTAATGCAGGTGGTAATTCATAAGTTTTTTCACATATCCTTTCTAAAAAGGCGACTGGTGGATATAATCTAAGCGCCTCGCTTATCACCGCATCTAAATATTCAAGCTGATTAATGACTTCGTAAGATACTTCTTTGTTCGATTCATTCAAAATCTTGTCAATTTCTTGTTGTAATTTGGTTTGAACTTCTGGGTTAGCTGCGATTTCGTGAGCTACGAAGGACATCGCGGTTGAACTGGTATCAAAACCAGCAAAGAAAAAGATAAACGCTTGTGCAGTCATGTCATCAATATCTAATTTTCTATCACCTTCTTTGCCTCTGATATCCATCATTAATTGCAGCATATCCGGACGTGTAATGTGTTCCACATCACGAGTAGCGATTGTAGTCTTTACAATGTCCTTGAAGAAATGCGATACGTAATCGTTTATAATTTTTAAATTGAGAATTCGTCCGAGATTAGGAAATGTTTTAAGAAAAATAAACTTTATGAAGTGATCCTGTATAAAGTTAGTCGCTTCTTTGCCGTAAACATAAAATTTATTCGTTGGATTCTTCATAGAATCAATCTTGATTCCAAAAGCACATGTAGCAATGACATCGTTCGTATATTTAGAGAAAGCATCTTTCATGTTCATATCGCATTTATCCGACGTTGGCAACGTCGACAGAAATTTAGCAAAATCTACAGCGCATTCCGACATCAACGTGAACATCATTTTCATCTTGCTGGACGTAAAAGAAGGACTCAAAAGACTTCTTACGTTCCGCCATTTTTCTCCGCGAAGAGAAAACAAATTTTTCTCGAGCAGAGAATTATTTAAATCGGAGAAACCAGGACGATCTGGAAATGCCTCGAAATTCTTAACAAGAAGAGTCTTAATGAGTTCCGGATCACGAAGCACGAAGAATGGAGTTATAATACCATAAAATCCATAATATTTTGCATTTGGATTAAAATTGTACAATTCTAAGATTGTATCAACGAATGATTTTCGAGGAAATATAATTGAGATTATGGTTGCGAAAATTGAAACAGGCGGTGCGTGTATAATACCATGTCTTTTAAAGAAATTAAAACTTCTAAAGAGATAATCAATGCTGATAACACCGATCACTATCGATAACAATATTAACCAGTATTCCATGGCAAATATAACTTGAAAATGTCTTTTCAAGTTACATACTTTTTGTAAACGTTTGAGAAGATGTGATTGATTATAAAAATCGCTATAAACGACACTGTCAACGTGAACTGTTGCAGACAACTGTTCGTACAGCAGTTGCTATCTCATTCTCATGATGCGTAATGCAGTAATAATCTCTAACGCAAAGGTCAAGTTAATATTACGTAAGATCAATTGATACTTTATAAATCAATAAATCTTGGATAATTCTTTTAAAATTTGTGTAAATGTTAATATAATAACATTTAAATATGTAATTATTTGTGCTTGCTAGACATTTGCATGTACATAATATACATATCTCTCAATAACTTGGAAAATATAAGTTTTATAGAAAGTTTCAGAAAAAATTATAGGGTATAAAAAGATCTATTTACTGATATTATCAGTTCGATCTTGAGTGGTATCGCCAAGGCCAAATCAAGATCACATTGACTTTTTTTAATGAAAATTTTTTATTGCATATTCTTGTAGCTTATCTTGAAAACTCTTCAAAACACTATAATAAAGTATTTTTTTCATCAAGTTATTCATAACTTTTAGTTATGCGAGACCTATTCAGGGGTTACCGACTTTTTTTTCTCACCCGGTATATTTCACATCATATATAAACATATATAGATGTATAAAATTACTTAACTAATCCGTGGAAGACTATAAAAGTAAAAAATACTATAATTAAATAAATATATTCAATTTGTATTTAAAATTTAATTTGACGCACATACATAAATTTTGCACTTAACGCTGTTATTAGATAATTGTTAAACAACATATTAAATGATATTTGAAAATATTTTTTACTAAAATTAGCGTTTGATAATATAAAATTGAATAAAATGAAAACTAAATAATGTAAAAATGTTGCCTTAGATTTTATATATTATGTTCTACATATATTTAAAATTAATTTAATTTTTTAAAAATGCATTAATCCCATTAGAAATATTGTTTCAATTTGAAAAATAATGAAAAGTTATATAATTTATAAGAGAATGAAATTTTATATAAATTATATCTTAGAAAATAGCACTGTGGCTAGTATTCATAATCAGTTCTTATATTCAAGACCGTCTTAAGTTTAATCTTGAAATGTCATGAATCAATTAGAGAAAGCTGCATTAACATCTTAAGACATTACTTAAGACGATGTTGAAATAAGAACTAGCTATAAATACCAGCCTATATAAAACTATTGTTTACCTTCTATTTCTAATTTTTGTTTATTACATCTGTTTTTTATCACATTGTTGAAATGAATATCGAATATGATAAAAATATAGTATTTACATATTTTATTTTTATTTATACTTGTATAATTTTAAATTTATATTATAACAATGTATTCTTACCATACATATACCATATAATAAGTATGACAAATAATAAGTTTCTGATCTTAATTCGGGCTAAATACGAACTTAACGTATCGAGAAATTAATATTCCTGTTCAAATGTTCATATGCATCAATTAAAAGATAAAGTATCGGCGATATGTCGCCCATCCCTATTAAAAGACAATTTATGGTAGAGTCTGAGAAAATGCAGATATGTCGCTATAAATGGGATGTAAATGAGTTGGTTTGTCCTCCTATCGATCTTTAAATACACGACGAGTCGTCGTTCCTACGCCGAAATAAATTCGAAACGAATCATTGTAAATCGAAAATAAGTACAACTACGAAAGCTGACGATCACTAAGAACATGATGTAGAATATAAGGTGTTTCATTATGCATGATGGTGGAATCAAATTTGGAATCGAAATGTAGCCTCAAATGTAGTGCGACATAGCATTGTGGAAATATATAATTTGAGGTTCCTGAGTACTCACTCCAATCATATTGAATCGTGACGTCATAAGCGAGAAATGTGTTATAAGCAACACATTGATTTTTCTTGCATGCTATTTGTAAATAAAGAGAATTTGGATAAAACGAAATAATGAGATTCCCTTAAAATACTTGTAAAAATGGACGAAAACTATCCTTATCTCCCCTGATAGTCAGTAAAGAATCGAAAAAGATTCATTTACGTGTCTATTTTTACAAGTGTTTTAAAGAGATCTTATCATTTCGTTTAATTCAAATTCTCTTTATTTACAAATGATATGTAAGAAAAATCAACGTGTCATTTCTCGCTTATGTCACAATTCAATATGGCTAAAGTGACTACTCAGGAGCCTTAACTTGAGATTAATAACTGTAATCTATTAATTTATATCGTAATCTCTAAGAGTTGACAATCAGTCGATTATTCTCCTCTCATTTGATGGTGATTGGTCAATTCTTACAGATTATTATCAGAGAGATTACTATTATCAGAAAAATTACTATTTTCTCTGTTATTATAAATCAACTTTTAATCTGTCGCAGATCATAGAAGCCATAATGTTTTTTGCATTTTGGACAACTCTCGGATTGATCAGCACTGCATATCTCGAAAGCGAACACCATATATTCTTACATCATGGCTAGAAGTATTATTTTATCTGAATTAAATTTTCAACATAATGACATTCAATCAATATAGCTGTTTTAATTAAAAAGCATCACCGATCAAAAACCGTGACGCAAAGCCAATTCTCTGATTATTTAGAACCTTAGTATATAACTTTTTTGCCTAATTAATACCTCTTTGCAGAAGATACAAAAATGAAAAGTCTTTTGTCACTGTAGACGGTACTATAGAATACGTTATAAAAATTAGTTCTTATATTCGATGTCGCAATACATCTTGGCCTATATCTCGCGAGGTTGGCATTAATTAATCTATATTGACACACAATCGTCGTTTTATCCTTTTTCTTCAATAAATTTATTTAATAAAACAAATAAAAAGTGACACTTGTGTCGATTGTGTTCTAAAAGGAAAGCAACATTATGTAGTTAAAGTGACATCATTGAAATATAATTGTACTGGGACACCTGACCCTTTACTGCCTTTGTTAACGAATGTCTTTGTCCTTTCCTAAACTATATAGCACATGTGCAGTAGATGGTGTATGCGTAGCGAGGATTATACAGTCTCATAAAAAATTAAAATTCACTAATGTAATACATATGTGTGAAATCACACATATTAACACAGACTAACTTAATCTAACCATTTTGATTTGATACGGTATATGTCTCTCATCAGAAACAATTCGGCGCATAACGTAGTCTGTAATAATAAAACTTTTGATCAGATTGAATTATACTAAAAAGAAATATTTAGAATCTTCTTTATCGGATTGCGATATCAGCAAATGCGCGTTTCAATATTATATTTCAGTGAGTTTGGGATCATTTATACTGACCATAATCTGTAAGGCTTGATCATAGTCGAATGAGAGGGAAATAATCGACTATAATTGGTCAATTCTTACAGGATTATGGTATAGGTTTATATTACATAGATTACAGCCTGTGTAAATGATCGTGAGTATTCGATCACCGGGCGCATGGAGATAAAAAATCGCTAAAAAAAAAAAAGATACATTTAGTAGAGGAAGCAACAAAGAATGTATAAACTCAAATACAGAGAAGCATACATATGTCCGAATCGAAGTTCCAGTCAGTAACCATGGCGCCTATTCTTAAAAAAAAACGACTTGGCCGGAGAATATGTACTTCGCGACTTCATTCATAGAACAATTCAAACTTAATAATTGTATCATGCGGACGCAACAATACAAAATGCTACTTCATTTCTTTCCGCTCGAATTGCTTTTTAATTTCCTGTTAGTTTCATATTTTTAATGTTCGTCACCTCGGTATCATCGATTAATTAATATCTTATCTAATATCTATTTTCCCATTCAAACATGGTAGATTTACAGCTGCAAATTGTTCTTTCAGTTCGGCATTAATTCCAATCTTTGATTTTTGATTGGAAGCTGTAATAGCCGTACTGATGAGAAAGACTTTTTTGTCTGTAGGATGTGACCAAAAATTTGCTTCATAACTGCAGGTTTGACACTTATAAAAGAACTGCGTCAGTAATCCTCGACGACGCGAATTTATAAGTATCCAATCTTTAAATTTGCACTCAAATCCTGGTGCATGACCATCAAATACCCGATGCATCTCTTTCATAAAGAAAGAAATATTGATAATACGATCACCTTCAGGCTCATGCTCTTGGATACGATTCGTACCTGGAACGTCGTCTTCGTCACAAATTCGGACATTTTCATATATATCTTTATTTAGTTTTGAACCCAGGTACGTTTCTAAAGTATTCATTTCTTTTGAATTCATTGACTTTGTTTCCAAGTACGTTTCTAAAGTATTCATTTCTTTCGAATTCATTGGCCTTGTTTCTAAGTACGATTCTAAAGTATTCATTTCTTTTGAGTTCATTGGCTTTGTAGCCAGGTTCGTTTCTAAAATATTCATTTCTTTTGAATCTATTGACTTTGTACCTAGGTATGTTTCTAAAGTGTTCATTTCTTTCGAATCCATTGTTTCAGATGACATGAATGAGTTTGACTCAATTGTTTCAGGTGACATAAATGAGTTTATTGACTCAATAGATTCACTTTTAATAATATTGTTAGCGATATAGTTGGCTGCCAAGGCTGCTTGTTCCATCATCTCTCTTTTACGTCGTCGCCTGCAAAAAATAATAAAAGTATTGTAAAATAAGAGCGATTCTTTCAAAATTCATTGTTAAAAAGGAGCAACTTAATTGAATTTATATGTTATTAGTAGAGGATTTCTGGATTTTTTAAATTTAAATTTGGGCACTGAAGACTAAGTAAGTCCAAACGTTTGCATTGTACAAAACATAATAATTAATTAAATTATATTTCTTTGAACAACCTATATTACTTATTATAACCACGATACTGATTATATTTTTATTATATTTTCAGATCATTCAAATAATAATTATATTGATTTATTCTACTCAGAAAGATAGACTAAATCATTTTTTAGTTGAATATTTGTCATATCAGGAGTTCCTTATTTTTTGTATCTCTATTTTTAATCATTATATCTTTTTCGTCCCCATCGCCAACAAAATTAAAAAAAAAACGCAATTCTTTTTACTTGTAAATACCAATACAAACAGTATAAAAATGTTTATTATACGAGTTGCAAAGATTTAAGAGAAATAGAAGAGTTCATAAGAGTCTTCGGGAAGACACTGGACTGTTAATGGATTAAAAGACGATCTTAAATATAATAACCATGAATACTAATCAAAGATTGAAGATTGCTACTAACCAATCCGTTACCAAAGTAAGTAACTGTAATGGTAACATCGTAATCAGTATTGCGTTACTTCCCATTCCTGAATAAACTTTATGCACAATTCCACGCAGTCAGGACAGAGTAAAATACATGTATTTTGTATTTGTATTTGTGTATATTGGTTGTGTAAAAGTTCATTATAAAAATTTAATTTAAATAAAGCTATATTAGTGTTCATGATGAAATTAATAACATTAAACACTGTACCATGAGTACGTTTTTTGTTTAAAAAGGCTTAACTTTAATAAATTTTTTAAGAGGTGAAAATTTGTTGAGAGCACCATCGCATATAATAAAGTAAACTGACTACCGAATAATCTAACTGTGAGGACACTCGTCAGCAAGCGGGATTTGATTCCCGGCCAAAATAATACTTATTGCAATAAATTATTCGCAGTTTTTAAATTTCATCAACATATGACAATTCTTGTTAAAAAGATGCTTATTAATATCAAGTCTATGTTTGATGTAAATTTATTGTCATATTGCTATTGTCAGAACTGTTTTAATGTTGTCTTCAATTTAACTTCAAAATAGGTTTTTCAGATTTGATTTATATTAAAGATAATTGAGGACACAAAGTGTATTTTACTGCAATGCCTATGTACATCAATTTATCCTCATTTAACACTTGATGACAATAAGGATGAACTGATGCTCGCTTTGCGAATATTAAATGGAACGCATTAACAGTAGGCTCTGGCTTAATATTACTAGTTTATACTATATGTTTAGGCCACTATCTATCCGATAAGAATCCTTGTTTAATCCATAGATTGAGTAAAGACCTATCGCATAAGTAGCAGCCTAAATGTACAAAGGGCACCAATGTCATTTGCTTGTGTTTGTTTTTCCTTTGGTAACATTCGATGAACAAAATGTTTATTATATTTTTATATTGCTATTTTGTACAAACTTTACAAAAATAAAATAACATAATAAAATTTCAATTTTGATATTAAAACAATTCTTTCAATATATGGCATGGCATAATTGAGAATACTAACCTTAAAACATATGTTTTCTTTTTAGAAAGTCTTTTAGTACAGAGAGTTAAATATCTACCATGGCTATAGGTTCTTCCCATACTTAATGTGAATTTGTAACAATTTCACTATAAGAGATTGAGGTGTTGTGAGACACTTTTTCTTGGTCTCAGATCTTCAATATAGAGTATACGTGGAATTAACTTGTATGTAAACATGTGATTAGCTAACTTGAAATTTTTGTTTTCTTTCCTAAAAAGAAGAAAAAGAAATAAAAAATCAAAGTTGATACTTGTTGTAGTGTCTATACAGGACTCTTTGTAAGACACTTGTGGAGTTAGGATACTAATACACCTCAAAAATTAGTAAATTATGAACTATTGGAAAGCGAATTCTTTTGCTTTTTTTTCTTTTCTTCTCCATTGCTCTAAGAGCATTTATGAAATTATATGAAATCTTGATATTATATGATAGTACAGATAATCAATCATTATACAGATAATTGCTATCAGTCTCATTCGTAATGTATTATTCTTTAAAAAAAGTGAATTATATAAAATATTTATATCTTAAATTAAATCTAATTCTTGACAAATATCATTTTGAAATTTTATTCTGATAAAATTATAGCAAATTATTTTAACATATTATTGCAAAATTTTTGTTCAATTCATGCTATTATTGTGCAATGTTTTCACAATTTACCCATTGAGGGGGGTGATTATATACATACAATATATAGGATCTATTTTTTTGGCTAAACTAGTATAAAATTTTGGAACTTTAGTTCTTTAGTAAATTGAGTTACCATAGAAATGTTTAATTTTTTTACATAATGAAGTTGAAGTACCGAAATTGACATATACAAAATTCTACGGTAGATTAACGATAAAATAAGAGAAAAAATGTTGAAAATGTAACCTTTTACATATAACGATAGATAAGGCTCGCAAATGTTTCTTTGACTAACTGCACGCAAATCTTACCGTAGACTTTTCTCAAAAACGAGATTATAATAGTTTAAAAAATTACGATTTTAATGGTCACAAAAAAAGTAATAGGCCATTCTGAAAAGATATTTACGTGCATAAACTTGCATATAAATTTAACCTTAAAAAGTAAATATAATCTCATCTTGTTTTTCGTTCGATGAAGATGCAGCTCTTGATTTATTATCATATTTTCCTTACTATTTCATTAAAATATTTGCGCGTAGTTTTAATATTTTATCCAAATTATGTAAATATTTGTAATTTTTGGATGGGCCCTTGTCAGACACCCCAAATTTTCGGCACTTTACTAAAGAATTACCTTAAAATGAGATATTATGTGTCTATTGTTTGGCAAAAGCGAGAAAAAAAATTCTAGTGCAGGCATAAAAAACAGACCTATTATTTACATAAAAAACAAGAAATACATAAAAATAAAAGAACATTCAGAAAATGTTATTTCTGACCTTAATTTTATAGCATATTCGATTTACTGACTCGACCCGACTCTGAGTTAATGGTCTGTTCTGTTTAGCTGCAAAAGAAAAGCTAAACTGTGCAAGAAATGCAGCTATGAAGAACAGACCATTGACTCGGAGTCAGGTCAAGTCGGTAAATCGAATACGCTATTGTTAGATGAAGTTATAACAGCAACGGAAATGCCGGCGCCTTGTCAAAAAATACTGAACTTTCGTCTTTTGTTTTAATTGACGTTAAGAAAAAACTCACGGGCCGGAATCCACAATCCATTCTTAAGACTATCTCAAGCAATTGGTCTGTTTTTAGTTGAAGTTCTTGCATGATTCATCTTTTCTCTTTTTCTTTCCAACGTGAAGAGAAAAGGAAGAAAAATGAACAATGCAAAAACTTCAGCTAAAAAGAACAGACCTAAAGGTTTCATGCTGACGCTCGACGTTCATTTTCGGCATCAAAATAAGTTACATGATAAGGTACATTTTCGTGCTGTTAAAATAAGCAACTGGAGCGACAGGTTTGTCACTCATTATCCACCGACTGAAATTTTATAGTTTGAACAGTTTCAACTACAAACTACAAAACGCTCAAACGCTACTGATAGTGTGACTAAAGACTTTAAGCCAACCCGATTGCCAATTCTGACTACCGATCAATAATGGACCAATCAGAATAAGACTGATTCAATGTGATTGGTCCATTATTGGTCGACAGTTAGAGTCGGCTTGCAGAGTCGGTAATCTGATACGGGCTTTAATCAGAGATTGGCTGGTTAAAATAAAATAAAATATATTTACAAAAATACATTTACCATCCTAAACATACTAAATATGTCTGTACTCAAAATCATGTTATTATGTGAATATTGAAATATAAAATGGGTTCTTCTATCGCGCATTCCCATGAGAACGCAATCAATAAATTTTCCTTATTTCTCCAATTTAGAAATACTACGCTACATTAGGAGACATGGTAGTGACTTCTAATATTATATTGATATAATGATTATTACAAATACGATATTTGTGTTAGCTATCAAGTTAGAACAAATATTTCTGTTTGTTATTATAATCAGTATCGTCGAAATAGAATTTTCTATCTCTAAATAGAAATTTATTTTACCATCTGAGCAGACGCTACATTTAATTTGTAGTGATTTAATTCAAGTATTTATATATTCAAGTTAAATTTACAAAATCTTGTAATTTAAAACATGTTTGAATTGAAATATATGCTTGACAGCTCATAACTGCTGCATTTAGTTGAATCAACTAATATATTTTTTTTAATTAACTTTTCTCGATGTGATAAATTTCAGGATGTTTTCAAAAATGAAAACATCCTGAAAAACTGTTCAAAAATTAAACACAATAAAAATAAAAATTTCATCCTCAACGACATATAACAAAATAAATTTTAGATTTTAGAATAGAATTACAAGTCCACCACAACTCATTGATAGACTGAGTAATCGAATGCAGCAAAGAACAAAAAATCAGTAAAAAATAATCATGAATAGTGCATATAGTAAAAATGTAAATAAAGTATAACAAGAATAAAGTAAAAAAATCTACAGTTAAGATATAAAGAATATGATCAAATATAACAAACATACAATTGCATACAATAACGGTCAAAATTTTCATATATTGTTTTACATTATATATTTAATATTTCGATTGTTAATAATCCACTAATAATAATTAATATATTACTAATTGTTCTTTAACTTTATTCTTATTACAATTTATTTATATCTTTATAATATACAATGTGTTTATGATTATTTATTTCTATTTTTTATTGGTTTCTCTGCTGCTTCTAATTATTCGACTTACCAACAGATTAGAAAAACTTATAATTCTAGTATTAGATTAAGATAGCTCAAATTAAGCAGAACCGAAACATCCTGCAATTTATTGATATTAAATATATAGTTTACATGTGATTTATATGCGCACTGATATCTACGTTTAGATACCATTCTAAAATAATTATAATAAAATATATACCCACCTTCGTACCCATGCTTTCTTTCGGGAGAGTCTATAGAAGGATGGAGGCAGCTTTTTTGCGCTATACTTTACCATTGAGTTGTACAAATTATAAAAATATATATTTTTATATGCAAAGTTAATGCGATTAGAAATTGTAAAACATTCGCTGGAAACAAATTACTTCAGATACGTTCAAGTAAACACCAGAAGAGGTTATTAGTCGTTAGTACTGTTTTTGTTTGTTTTTTTTTAAGGTCTTTTCATACTCACGCTCGATACTCATTTCTGTGTCCAAATAGATCACGTGATCAAAATGGACGCTTGATATTCGTCAATTTTTATCGCGCTGATGTATAGGAGCCATAACGATAAAGCTGGAAACACAATAGATCTGTTCTTTTTAGCTGAACTTTTGCACCAGTTTTCATCTTTTTTTCTTTTCTCTTCAAAGTTCCTAATTTTTGAAAAGAACCGTATACGAAATTCTAGGATAATACGTAACGTATACTGTAGTATCTCCTTAGACTTCCGTATACGTTTCATTTTAAGATAGGGGCGAAAAGAAGAAGAAGAAAGATGAACTGGTGTAAAAATTCAACTAAAGAAAACAGGCCTAATGAAAAGCACGGGGCAATAGAAACAGGAAATAAGAGATTTTAATCTATCAGAAAGCGTCCATTCTAGTATATGGTTTCTGATAGGTTGAAATTGGTTACTTCCTGTTCCTATTGCTTGTGCTTTTTATTGTGTTTCCAGCTTAAAGGCCGCAGCACAGACTTTTGCATAATGCATAATGCACAATGCATAAACGAATCAATTAATATCAGAATCTTTCCTTTCCTCTTATTTCCTAAAAAAGAAGGATTTCGATTGATTGATTTCCTTAATTCGAGAGTCTGCTGCGGTCATAAGAGTGTATCCACACAACTTGCATAGCCGCATAACATATGCATAAAGAAAATTATCCAATCGTATTTTACGTTTATCTTTATGACAAATGTGATTGGATAATTTTCTTCACGCTAATGATTATGCGGCTATGCAAGTTGTGTGGAATGGCCCTAATGATTGCGACATGAATCTGCATAAACTTAAGAAATATCGGAAAACCAAGTAGGGATCTTCTTAAGAAGAAGAAGAAGAAGAATTTAAGGATTTAAGAAATAAAATTTGCAAAAGTGAGGCATTTCTCGAAGAGGCTATCACAGGATCTTCGAATCCAAATTCATCGCATGGATGAACTGTGATCCTTTTTCTTGAGTCGGAAAAACCAAATAGGAAATTCAGAAGAAGAACGATTGGGGCATCGAATCGTTTCAGCAGGTTTCGAGTTCGAACCAGTTCGAACTTCGACCCAATTCGATTCCACTTATATCTTACATATATGAATTAAAAGTTTTCTGTACTTAAGAAGCTAATTTCCGATTTACGGATTAAAAAAGAATTGTTAATAGGAAATTTCATATATAGAAAAATACGAATGGAAAAGAGAATTGCTACAAGAAATTCGTTGTGTTTTGTTGATATAAGGTAGGAAATGAATGCATCTATTTCCCTTGTTAGAGAGACTATAATGAAAAAAAAACTTTAACATTTACTATCTCGCTTTATAAAGAAAAGCTTTTTTTCTGCCAGTTCTTTCGTTGCATGCAAAAATGTGTCAAATAAGCCTAATTTCATAGATTTTTAAGATTGAAAGGGCTAAATTAAAGAAACTTTTGATATGTACATAAATGCATCTTTAAATGAAATAATAATTAGAGAAGTGAGCGAATTCACTAGCTTTTGATCAATGAAGTTATAAATATTTTAGTGAATTTTGCTTTTTGTAATTTTTACCTTTGATTTCAAGATATACAATTGACAACCTCAGTATTAATTCGGCTTCAATTATTACTACTAGTATCATCATATCATATAGTGGTAATCTAGTCGGTATAGTCTAAAAGTCATTCCTAATCATGGTACTCATAAATGTAGGATTCGCGTAGCGTACAATACTCGAAATGCAATATGTTGAATTCACATATATCCATATCCATAGTCAAATTTAAATCATATTTAAGGTTTTCTTAAATTTATTTTGTTCAGTAATTTTACATAAGATTTTTAACATATAGTGTAAGTAACATATAAAATAGTGTTGTTGTCGTTGACATTCAAATTTCAGGGATTGCGTTCAGCAGATTCAACAGTTGAATGAGTATTCGCTGCTATTGATGTATTCTTCTAGATCTAAAATCTGATTGGTCTGCTGAACACAATCAGTATTATAACACTGTAAAAACAGATAAATACATATTTTTTACTTATGTTTCAGCTACACTCAAAATCATTGTACCTATAATATTATACTTTCGACATATATAAAATTTTGTTGTCGAAGGTGTTGTTTTAATTCAGACTTTAGCTATTGTGAATAAAAAAAGTTACATATATTTTTTAATTTTAACATATACTGCCATGAGAGAAGGAGATAAATATACATTATATATTTATATCTGAAATAAAGAGAAGCAATCAAATTGACGATAAGATTGTACTTGAGAAATCTGCGTGATGAGAAATTTGTCATCACAAAGAGACAATACTTGTTGCTTTTCATATTACTCTTCCTACATTGGTAAGTTTTTCGCTTTTAAATAATCATCCTAGTAAACAAAAGTCAATTAAAATGGATTTGATCTAACCGAAAATACGTTGAAAATTCTTAACAGTAATCATTCCTTAATCTTAATGAGCTGAAAACGAAAAAAAGCGGAAGCGCCAAGATCACATTGTAAGTATTTTACTTTAACTTGATATTTTTATTTTCTACATGAGGGAGCAACACAATAAATGTTCTTATACGAAAAATTTTTTACTGGATACAACAGACATATTTTATTTTTACAGTATTAAAATGGAAGTAATACCTGGAAAAAGGAGAGACAGTTTTATATATGTATATGAGGGATATAAATATAATATTGATAAAAGATATACTCATGTATATCGCTGTGCAAGAAGACGCAGTCATTTATGTAGAGGCGTATTAATGGTACAAAATGAAAAATTTATTTTAGGAAATACGCATAATCATCCAAATGAGCCTCATGTTATAGATGTTTTCAAATTAAAAAGAGAAATGATTCAAATGTCTAAACATACCACTGCAACATCCAAAGAAATATATGATACAATTTCTCAAAAGAATCAAAGTGCAGCAGCAAATATTTCATATAATGCAATGAAAACTCTGTTATCAAGAGAAAAAGTTAAAATGCGACCTCCAGTACCTTCAAATGTTTGTGATTTAAATGATTTACTTAAAGAATATGAATTTACAAAACCTGTTTATAAAAGCTGCATTATATCTGAAGACAACAAATATTCATATATTTTCACTACTGATAAACTTTTAAAATTATTAGAGAAGAGTTCTGAAATTTATGTAAATGGAACGTTTCCCGTAAGTAGCTGTTGCTAATATTTTGTTTAAATACGACTAATAAATATGTATATATTCACAAATATTAGAATATTTGTGAATATATATACAAAATACAATATATACGATATGTTTGTGTGTGTACATGTACACGTGTTATTTTAGGCTATACCCAGAATGCCAAAGTTTGCCAAATTATTTTCAGTACATGTGCGGTACATGGAGAAGGTATTATACAATAAATTATTATATATATTTATTGTGTGTGTGCAATCTTTTATAATATTATAATTTTGTAATATTATCTTCTAGGGTGTTGTAGTATTACTTATTCTATGTGAAGCGAAAACAGAATTTGTTTACAATTCGATATGGAAAGAAATAGTTAAATTGATTCCTAAGTTGCAAAACAATTTACGTTTTATAATAATGGATTATGAAAAAGTATTAATGAATACTCTTCATACACAATTTCCTCAGGCATCTCTATATGGCTATTGGTTTCATTATTGCCAAGTAAATAAATCATTTTTTAAATAAATATTGTATCAATTAATTTTTTATTCACTTTTGTTATTATATTATTTATAAAACTTTATTAGAGTATTTAAAAAACTTTTCATATAGTAACTTTTCATAAAATACTTTACTTATAAATAATATTTAAAATTATATTTTTACCAATTTGCTCATATTCTGTATTTGTAGGCAGTTTTAAAAAAATGGATACAGTTAGGACTTACCGTACCGCATAAGGTAGTGTCCATAGCAATGGCGTTAGCATTAGCACCACCAGAAATGTTTTCACAAGGTTTAACTCTTATGCAAATAATTACAAATAAAGAATATTATTTTTATCCTAATATGTTGCTTTTTATGGCATATATGAAAAGTACATGGCTCCCGATATTAGAAAAAGTTTGCGTATATCGCTGCCCAAATAGGACCACTAACTTTGTAGAATCATTTCATAATATCATGGGACATAAAATGCAAACGGTTCATCCAAATTTATGGATATTTTTAAGTACGTATAATATAATACTTTACTGATAATACAAATCCTATATGTTTTACGAAATGTTACATAGCAATATAAAGATTAAATGGATACCGCAAGTATAGGTGACTCGAGACAGTGTAGATAACTTGGGACAGCACATATTTTTGTTAAATTCAATCATGGAATTTATCTATGAGTCTCTAAAGGAAGTGTAAAACTTAAACTTTCTTTAGAGACTCATGGATAGATTTTACGATTAAATTTAACAAAAATACATGTCCCAAGTCACCTACTTACGGTAGTTAAATTATTAATCTTACTTAATACTTAATAATTACTCCCAATGTAATTAATTTTTATTTAAATTTTTGTAGATAATGTTTCTAAACTAATTATGAATCAAGAAACCAATTATGATCGTGTAACAAACGGTCAACAAATGACAAACATCCGTTTTCCGTCCAGCATGTTTAGAAATATAAAAATACGAGACGCACAAAATTATTTATCTTCTGGTCTTTTTTCTTTAGAACAATTTTTGCAAGTTTTTGATAATGAAATGAATTATCAGCAACATCAAATGTCATCATTGATTGGTAAATATTTAAATTTGGATCAACATAAGGTACACCGCAGTTACAGTATATTTTATAAATTATATTTTTGAATTAGAATTTTTATATATAGAATTATTTTACTCATATGACCATGACATATATTAAATTTGTATTAATTTTATTGAACCACAATCTTTCATCAGATTTAAACTATTCTTGTTTCGTAACAAAGAATCAATTATGTAGATAAATATAATTTATTTGTAATATGATGTATTTACATATTTTTATAATTACAATTGCTTTTTATAATTTTTGTAATTAATTTTTCAAATTTAGATCTTGGTGTTGAAGATGAGGAAATATATACTGATTTGCTTACAGAAGAAGTTTCAGTATCTAATTCAGGTAAATTCAAATAATTAATAATAAATTACCATTTAAAATATAATAATAAATTAAATCTTTTTTACTTCTTTAATCTTAATTAGTTTCAACTTCTGAGTTCCATATCGAAAAAAGAGATAGAGAGGCGAAGACGAACGAGAGAGCAATTTCAACGAAGGTAATATTATTTTTTTACACGCATATGCGCGCGTGTTGAATACAACTCAGTTGAATACTACCAACTAAATATTTATTAAATATAAAGATATATTTATTTGAATATAAGAAATGTTAATTTGATTTAACAATCTTTTTTTTATTGAACAAATATTTACTTACTGTAAGTAAATGTTTAGTTGGCAGTATTGAGCTAAATATTTATTAAAATTAACTATATTTTTTTCTTAGTATAGTAAATATAAGTTGAAATTGCAGAACACTACAAATTCTATTATACATTTATACGTTTACAAAAGATTTTATACACATTTTATTAATCTGTTAAACGCATGAGTATAGAAAAATTTACTTCAATATTTACAAGAAGAATTCATACGATTTTTTGTTCCTAACATTATATAAGTTTAATATCTACAATAAAAAATTAGAAATAATAACATGTTAACTTAAATTAGAAGTAATAACAAATTAATTTTTTTACAGTTAAAGCTAGGAAAAAAAAAGTTTAGGGAAATACTCACGATAACGCAGGTAATTATTTAATATGTATTTGTAGTATCATATGTATACATAAGATGTTCCTTTTTGAATAGGCCCCTAAATAAAATGTAATAAATTAATTTTTTTTACAGTTGAAGATATGGAAAAAGAAGTTGAAGAAAATATTTATACTAATGAAGGTAATTATTTAACATAGTGTAGTTTGTAGTATTATATATATACACAAATAAGAGAAGAAAAAGAAAGCCATGAACTGAGATAATTACGAGATTCTCATTTCAGTTCATGATTGTGTTCCAAGTCCAAGTAACCGAATCAATGCATATAGTCTATAGAATTGATATAATTATATTTATATATCACATATGAACATTACTAAGACCCGCTTCGATCTAAAATGGCTTTCGTCTCATATTTGTGTTTATATATATATATATATATGACATAACACATAATATTCTAACATAGTTTCATATATCTCTAGTAAAAGACTAGATGTTTTAAAGTAACATGTCTACTTAAATGTAATAAATTAATTGTTTTTACAGTTAAAGCTAGGGAAAAAGAAGTCGAAAAACATACTTAAAATAATAAAGGTAATTATTTAACATATATTTGTAGTATTCCATGTTTACGTATTAACATAAATTAGAGAAGAAAACTACGAACTGAAATATAATTGTGAAATTATTTCTTTATGATTTTTTTTTAAATTCAACAAATCGAATCGGTGCACAATTTATAGAATTGATATTTGCTTGTACATGAATATTACTCAGCACCAAGAAGCCTTGACCCAAAATGGCTTTCGTTTCTTATTTGTGTTTAAACATTTTTTAGCATAGTTTACTTAATATTATTTATATTAACATAACATATAACATATAGCATCAACAAGATGCTATTAAAGACGGCCGGTCTTACGGAAGTTAGCGTAATTGTTTTGAAAGAAACCGATAATATAATACTAATTTTATTATACTAGTTTAGACATGTATATATATTTAACTCTCTCTCTCTCTCTCTCTCTCTCTCTCTCTCTCTCTCTCTCTCTCTCTCTATATATATATATATATATATATTATTTTTT